GGTGTATATATGTTTCTCACGAACTACTGTTACAACAAACTAAATTGAGTGGTCCCTTTGAGTTCGTTATAACCGTACTTCACTGTAGTTTGGAATGCTTAAAGATTATTTTTTTTCATACCTGGTCCTACAAATATCATACTGACTAATGCTTCCAAAGAGGCAGCTTTAAGTACATACTGTTTTCTTTTGTCTCTACATTCTAGGAGGCTCCTGACCGGGTTACCAATTCTAATTATAAACAAAACACAAAGAATGATGTTGGACTTAAAGTTTATTAAACAGAAAAAACAACAACTGGGGCAAAATCCTTCTCTTATCTATAACCTACGTAATTTTCCCCCTTCCCTACCTACGTAAACCTATTCAACCTTATTACTTAAACTTGTACTCTTAACCACCCCTCTAACTTAACTCCCAAAATTAAACGTCTATAAAACAAACCTATTCAATACCTACTCTACTTTTCCCCCACCCATACCTCTTAATCTAATATCTCAACGAACGCCCTATAATAAATAATAAATGATCCTGATTCAGGACGTGGGAGCCGACTGTACCTTACCAGATACTGGTGAGTGCATGACGACTGACGATTCCCTACCCAGGGTAGGCTTATAAAGCCAACACGAGGACCATGTGACCAGGAAAGCGGACACAACCAATGAACACACTCCTTACATCTCGGCTCTCCCAATCATGGCTTCCGCCTAGCCGAGCATGCAAGAAGCGTGGCATCGTCACGTCTTCCCAGCCACTGCGCCCGCGTGGGCATAAGCTTCTACACAAGGACTACAAAGATAGGTACTACGTCAGCCGTTCAACTCCCCCTTAAACTAACCCACCCACTACGTTCTTAAGTATATATATTTACCCATAATAGTCGACCACAATACATTATGTTTTACAGACATCCAGATAATGTAACTCGAGCATAAAAGTTTTACAAATAAATGGACTGCAACTGATAATAATATCACAACAGTTAATTGTCACTTATCGCACAATATCGCACAATATGGGAATATTCTTGATGGATTTTGGGGAACCAATAACGGATTCCCCACGGTGTAACTAAGCCAGCAGTACACCAAGGAACATTAAGAAATAATAATAATAATGTGGGGACCTAGCCTCCATACACTCTGTACATGCTAAAAGCACACTAATTGTATTATCATTCTCAGTTCCGGTGAGATCTTGGGAACAAGTGAGTTAAGTCTGGAGAGATGTCAATCAAGTCCATTTCCACTAAGGCTTCTTTCTGTAATAACTGCTTCACTGCTGCTGACAGCTTTGATTTATGTAAATAAACTTTGTGACAGTATGCAAGGTTATTGAATGCAGACAAAACAAGTATTTGTCACAGAGTGACGAAATATCCCCCGCCTGTACACCATAGTACCAAATATGAAGACAATCCAGCGATTAGTTCTTGAGATATTGTGGCAACACCGTTTTCCAACTCCAAAAACAGATTTGCCTGCTGTGACCTTGAAAATGGGATCAAGGTCACCAAAACCGACTGGTGTCTGCGGAGTCTGTATATACACCATAGTTCCAAATATGAAGACAATCCAGCGATTAGTTCTTGAGATATCGCGGCAACACCGTTTTCTAACTCCAAAAGCAGATATGCCTGCTGTGACCTTTAAAATGGGATCAAGGTCACCAAAACCGACTGGTGTCTGCGGAGTCTGTATATACACCATAGTTCCAAATATGAAGACAATCCAGTGTTTAGTTCTTGAGATATCGTGGCAACACCGTTTTCCAACTCTAAAAGCAGATTTGTCTGCTGTGACCTTGAAAATGGGATCAAGGTCACCAAAACCGACTGGTGTCTGCGGAGTCTGTATATACACCATAGTTCCAAATATGAAGACAATCCAGTGTTTAGTTTTTGAGATATCGCGGCAACACCGTTTTCCAACTCTAAAAGCAGATTTGTCTGCTGTGACCTTGAAAATGGGATCAAGGTCACCAAAACCGACTGGTGTCTGCGGAGTCTGTATATACACCATAGTTCCAAATATGAAGACAATCCAGTGTTTAGTTCTTGAGATATCGCGGCAACACCGTTTTCCAACTCTAAAAGCAGATATGCCTGCTGTGACCTTGAAAATGGGGTCAAGGTCACCAAAACCAACTGGTGTCTGCGGAGTCTGTATATACACCATAGTTCCAAATATGGAGACAATCCAGTGTTTAGTTCTTGAGATATCGCGGCAACAAACAGGTGGGACGTACGGATGTACGGACGTACGGACGTACGTACGGACGGTCGTGAATACTATATCCCCGCTTCGCGCTTTCGCGCGGCGGGGGATAAAAACATGAATAGGATATGCTGTCTGAATAACACTGAGAAACCATTTGTCGGATGTTACTGACTTTCATTGGACCCTCGGACTACAGAACAGAAAACACAGTTTTCACAAAATCGAAGACCATTGACGATTCCGCTAAGCAGAATGTGGGCAGTCCTGAAAACCTCTGTTTATTTGTAGTACTCACTTAGCAATATTCCAGCTATACGACGGCAACAGTAAATCTAGACATGATATCCAATGATTGACATCATGAGCATTAATCTTCGCAATTTGGATAGGATGAGACGCTTTGACCACATCAGCGATTGAGACCATCCAATCCCCTTAGTTGCCTCATACGACAAGCATGGGTTGCTGAAAAACAATTCTTACCCAGAATCTTCACTGAGCCTGATTATGCATGGTTAAGGTTTAAATCTATTACAAGATGTTTTTGTTGCAATTTTGTCGATTGTTGTGGTATGGACACAGACAAAATCCTTCAGGTCATGAAACAGCATCCGATTTCTCCCTTTCCACACATATTAGTTTGGCAAGTGTGTTAACTTGAAAACAAACTAAGGCTCCACACTGACGTATATATACCATCTAAGAAGGCATGTGGCATAGTGATATCCTCTACTGACATGGTGACGAGTAAATCAGGATAATGCAAGTTTAGTCACTGAAGGTTGGAGGGCAAACAATGTAATTCCTGCTACCAATCAACTGATATAAGACAAAATATCCAGTGACATACGTGCATGATTGTCCATATCTTTTAAGCCCTTCCGATGAACAGACACATGACATACTGCTTGTCCAATATTTGAGATTTGGTTGGTCGGTTTTTAGTTTAACGCCACACTCAGCAATATTCCAGCTATATGACGGCGGTCTGTAAATAATTGAGTCTGGACCAGACAATCCAGTGATTGATATCATGAGCATCGATCCACACAATTGGGATCGATGACATGCATCAACCCAGTCAGCGAGCCTGACCACCCAATCCCGTTAGTCGCCTTTTACGACAAGCATAGTCATCTTTTACAGCATCCTACCCCGGAATCTTCACGGGTCTGATATTTGAGAAATCAATATCTATTTCAGTTGAATGCGATTCTAACAACCGCTGATGAATGGCAGAAACCGGTTGGCTGGTTATTTGAGTAGTTTATCTCCAAACTTCTATTTCATTAAATTGTCATTTGTCCAAAGTAAAATCTCTCGTACAGTTGTAGAATGTGCAAGGGACAAGTTAGCACTTCTCTTAAGAGCATAAAAATCCCAGAATTTTCAATTCCTCAGGTAAAACTTTAACTAATTACTCAGGTGGTTTGGTGACAGGAATCAGCTTATCAACTGTTTCCAAATTCTAAACAATTCTCCAAACAGGTATGAAAATATCTGATCCAGAGTTTTGGGGATAAATAACTGAAGTCCCTTTATGAGAATCAAAGTTCATGTTGGGTAACATGAGTTTCCATGTATATGTCACAGCTGCGTGATCTGACGGATAATTTCGTACCCAAATCAGGCATTACAAGCTTCTCAACCTGTGGGATAAGAGGAATGGATCTAGCTGAATGGACACGTGGCTGCTTGTCAAATAGATCCAGTTGCCAGGTCATTGACTCACATCTGTGGCTTGACAAGCTGCGGACCCTACCATACTTGACAGGGTTTCTATCCACGGCCGATGGATCGGTACACCGGTTATTATGTACCCATGTCAGGCATTACAAGCTTCACAACCTGGGGAGCAAGCAGGACGGATTTGCCTGAACTCACTGGTGGCCTGTCAGACAGATCCAGATCCTGGGCTCTTTAGCAGGAAACCCGCAAAGGGTAACCAGTCCCTTTGTTTTGCCAGGCTTAGCTAGCTTGGCGTCCATTTCATCAAGCCTTAGTTTAGTTACAGTTTGTGTAATGATTCCTTGCTCAACACTGTCACCTATCTTAGCAATACCTTGCATAATTTCTGATATAAAATTTGCAAACATTGATGATAACAATTTTGAAAATTCATTCAAACCTGGCTGTTTTTCTTCCATAAGTTCTTTTGCCGATATAGATTTAATCAATTCATTTTAGATAATAAAATGTGCAAATAATTCTTTGAATTCCGCATCCGTAAATCTATGCAGAGATCACAATGATCGGAAATTGAACACTTCTTTGTCGAACAATATCTACAGAACAAGTGCGGTCTTATCTAATCATAAAAGTTTTTGAAACATTTCCTATCCTCAAGTAACTATAAACACGTCTTACTTGTCGTACACATGGAGAAATAATAAAGCTGGAAGGATTACACATGCGCTGAGGGCAGGGTTTCCCGTGTTAGGAAAGATAATTCAAGGAAAGACACGTACCACTAAAGAAATTTTAATGTTTTTAACCTTGTGATCACCTGCAAGCAGGAGAACTGAGGCAATCATGTACTAGAGGAAATGTTCACGTTATAATTACAGGATTATTGCCAGTGATGTAATAGAAGTAGGGTATTTGCAGGAATTTATCTTTTAGGGGTATGCTTTTTTCAGCATTTTTGGGGTGCTTGGAATGAAGTTTCTACATTATCAACCTGTCATTGTGCAAACAATTATGAGCAATAAAGATGCTTGTGTTTTAATTGACTCACTGGATTATAGTGTTAGTTTCTAATGCTTTGTGTTGACTGACCTGTATACTGTTTATTTATTGTTGTCACGGTCGGTCGCTGTTGTTTTCGTTTCTCTACTTTGTTGCCATCATGTTTTGAAGTAGAGGTGGCTTTAGTTTCTTCTCTCTTGGTGTTAACCTCAATCACCTGCCCTACACCTGCCCAACAAAAAAACCCATTCATTCAACCATACTGTAGATCTAACTAGAAGCAGACCCATCCATACCTTTTTTGGAAAGCCCCAAAACATCTCACTAGAAATGAAAACAATAGTTATTGATAATACTTCAAAGAATACTACCTCTATTATATCATTTCATAATCCTGTATTTTGGCTGTACCATAACCAAGATCTTCAGATCTTCAGATTTTCAACAGAAGTCCTTTTCACAGGCAAATATACGTAACTAGTTGTCCCAACAATAGCACAAAGCAGCTCAAAGCACTTCCGTGTGCAAATCCTCACTTCTTTCCAAACGTCTACGAACAAGATGATTGGGGAGGTGGGAGGGAGTACTTCTGATATAATAGAGGTAGTATTCTTAGAATTATTAACACTGATAGATTGTTTTGATAATTCTTTCAAATCCTAAAAGGACGAGCTACAATCGAATCAGCTCATGTGGATTTAAAACTAAGTCAATATCATGAATCAAGCAGATATGTGGTACCTTTCACAAGAATTACTGTAATAATTGCTGTTATTTTTATCAATGATGTCATTAGATGTTCTAAACCATCTCTCAGACCATCAGGCTGTTGAATCATATTTCCGGTTCTAACGTCACTTCTGGTATTAGTGTCATCTTTATCTCTCTTCTTTATCTCATTTCCGTTTTCGATGACATCACTTTCTGTGATGTCACTTCCAGCATAAATTTCATCATAATGACCTCATTTCTGGTCTGATATGATGTCACTTCCATTCTAATCGTCACTGCAGGCTTGATTCTGAAGCTGCTGGTGTCGGATCTTCTTTCTCTCCCATAGGAGGTGGAAAACAATTGGGTGATAATAGTTTGAGCTGCCACAAAGAATAGTAGATAACAGTAGATAATAGTTTGAGGACCCAAGGAATATATGCCCTGGTTGGACATCCTGAAGATAATAAGATCTAGTGAAAGTGTTATATGAGCCCACTGACAGCTGGATACTACTTGTTCTGCGGACACTCAAGTCAAGGAGGCAAGGCTTGTAGTCAATGCTCTAATTTCTTGAGCTGAGCATGACCTGAGAATAGGTGAGGAATCTTGGGCCTGGCGATAACTTTCTACAACAATAGACTTAGACATGTAACCATGGCTTTGGTAATGTCTTTGTTAGAATGAGTCTTGCAGGAGATGATTGTCTATTTCTATGTTTTCAATGTGGATCTGGATCTGAAGCCGAAAGGCAATATTTGAAAGCATAAATACGTCAGAGGTGACAATATAGTCAACCGTTGGAGCCAGTGCAGTGATGGTATAAGTGTCTGTGGACCAACAGCCAGAGAGAAAAGACTGATTTTTGGCAACAAATTCCAGAAGTGACCTTGAGGTAATTGTTCTCCAGTCAATAGCATGAGTAAGACTGGAATAATCCGGAGAGCCCTGCATCTTCTGCTATATAACTTCCAGGCAGTTGGATGAAAGATGGAAAGATTGTTGGGGAATATGCCCAACTGGGTTTAACCTAGAAGATCTCAACAAAGAGGTAGGGGGAGAGGATCTTTCATAAGCAGTGGCAATAGTCTGAAAATAGCATACAAATAGGCCTGTCCAATCCATCAATAGAGTGTCTACTTGGAGAGCCATCAGGCCTGAGTGACCACTCCATTGTCACGATTCTACCCTATGTTTCGCTTCCATCCGGTGGCTGAATTGTATGGTCTCCATCAACAGGGATCTGGATCTGGTTCATCCATACTTTTGGATGTATGCAACTGCTGTGGTGTTGTCCAATGCTATCAGAACTGAGAAATGGGATAGTTGAACTTCCAAGTCCTGAGAACGTACTGCCTTCATCTCTTGGCAGCTGATGTGGAGATCCTTTTCGGAAGCATATCATAAGTCTAGTAACTTTTGTCATGCTTAATGAATTGGTTCATGGAGATAGGCGTCTTGATGAGTCAATCTCCTGTTCTGAGGCTTGAGGCTGGTACGATTCAATCTGGAACTTGGGAGGAGGGACTAGAAAGGATTTGTTGAGAACCTTGAGGTCGATGATCATCAGTCGAGAGTAAAAACCCTTGCTGTTGTCGGTATCTTGAAGTCTACAATGTAGCACCCATATGTCAAATTATGCTTCCTCTAATTTGGGCCCTTCCAGATGGAATCTTCGGCCTCCTGGCCAGGATACAAGTAGAGGATGACATAGGACTTGTAACTTTTAGCTTTTTTCAACGTTGTTTTGTTTAGCTTTTTCGTTGTTTTGTTGTGTTTGTTGTTTTACGCCGCACTCAGCAATATTCCAGCTATATGACGGCAGTCTGTAAATAATCGAGTCTGTACCAGACTATCCAATGACTGACATCATGAGCATCAATCCACGCAATTGGGGTCGATGACATGCATCAACCAAATCAGCGAGTCTGACCACCCGATCCCGTTAGAGGCCTTTTACGACAAGCATAGTTGCTTTTTACAGGTTGGTGAAGACCTATTCTACCCATGATCTTCACGGGTCTGAAACAACGTTGAGAATCCAGTGGTCAGATATGACCTGCTTCCAATTTTCAGCGAATGACAACGGACGTCCTCCCACTGGACCCAGAGTCAGTATTATGTTGAAAGATGGTAGATGTAGATCAGAGTCCACAGGTAAAGCCAGGTAGATAGGATTGGAAACAAATGGAGGGTTGGATATGAAGTCAGAATCTGGGATAATCCCGACTTCCCTGTATGGATCCCCTGTGAGTATTTCCTCATCGTTTGTAGTTGGGTTTATGTGAAGTCCCGGATGGATGTTGAGATTATCCTTTTTTGGCTTGGCTTGAAATAATCCTTCCCTGAAGGGACAAAGTTCTTACAGGTGAGTTCTCTGAATGAGGTGTCCCAAAATGGTTCTCTTGAAAGAAAGACCAAGCAGAGCTCTTTCACTGCCAATTTGATGGTAGATACTTGGAACAGTCGTTAAATGTCGCACATAAATTGTATTACGGACAGCTGTATTGCGATACATATTGCAATATGTTTTGGGCCACAAATTATATATTTATTTGAACTGTTCAAATGGGGCTTCACTCAATAATCCTGACATCTGATTGTGAGATGGCTTTTGACAGTATTGATGAATAAGACTACTTATTACATCATCCATATGTAATGTTAATGTTAACAGAACGAAGTGTGTGCTGTTCAGATAGGAACTCAGTCAATCCAAATGTCTCAAGACTGTAGATATAATTTATAAGATTACCGGTATATATTCTTCTGTGACTGTATTGGAAAATATTGATACACAAGGATTGTATTGCGATGTGTGTATTGTTGATAGACATGTTGCCATATTCCGGTATACAGGTTATATTGCACACCCCATGATGGTGTAGGCAGAGAATCTGGGCTCCATGGGGTTAGCTGTTCTTCAGCCTGATGGTCTTAGCTACCAAGCAAAGACCATGACAGTCTTGAAACTTGACTAGGTAAAGCTTGGGAGCTACTACCTTGATGACTGACTAGTGCAGCCTTGGTGGTGGATGACAACAGACCAAGCTCATGCTGAAGCTGTCCCCCCTTCAGCTTTTTGGCTGGGGAATTCTTCTGAGCATGTTCATCTTGTCAATGCTTCAGTTGTTCTACTTCAGTCGACAATACCGTAAAACAGGAATCGAAGAGCGGCAGGGATGATGGAGAAAGATGTAAGGACATTCAGAGTCCTCTTTGCCACTTCCTTATGCTTGGCCTTCATAATGGATTCCAACTGCTTTGGATTAACAATACTCATTAATGAGTGATTTCGGTAATTTGTTGCAAATTTGGTGAGTCAGTGTCGGAATGCAAGACTGTCTGATTAACGGGTCTAAATAGCATTGATTTAATCTGTCCCTATCATTTGTGTCGGATAAAGCCGAATGTCGGATAAAGCTGAGAGTTGGATTAACGGAATTTGACTGTATAGTTGACAGTGAAGAAGACTTCTGTTGAATCCAAATAGAAGGACAGCTGACCTCACCAAGATCTATCAATACTTATCTTAGATCCCTAGTGTTGTCTAATATACCGGTAGTCCTATGCCTTAAACCACCACAAGTAAAAAACACTCAATGACATCCCTTTCAGTTTGGAAAAACACTTGCTCAAAGCAGTACTACTTTAAAACAAGTCCTATGGTCTAACTAACAAAGCTAACAACAATTCCCCCTTCTAGTTTTAGAAAACTAGATGAAGCATAACAGAAAATTCCATGCATATATCCACCTTAATATCAAAGTTATAAGCACTGATGGATTAATTACATCAATTCCAATTTTGGAAACCGCATCCTCAAGGCAGCACCATCTAATAGCATGTGAGAACATTTCTTGTTGCAACCTTCGTGTTACAAGTCTGAAGTCACCTTACGTTACTGAAATACATTCTGAAGGAAACCACATCCAAGTCAGCTTATGAATGAATAAACAGTTAATTAATGTGAAAAGTGTGTTATTATCTAAAAAATAAATCCGAAATCTCTTCTAATTTGAACCATGTTTCATGACCTCTAGAGGCTTTGACTTTAAATGGAGGTCATTCAATCACATGATCCCCATGTGCACAGGGCTTTTTTACCTAATGGGCCTGTAAACTTCACATTATAAACAACTTTGACAATGACAGAATCATGTTGGGACCTTGACCTTGTCCTGACGCGTGCCTGAACAATTTTCAAGGATTTATTTGGAAGGTATTCTCCAATTTGGTACTTTCAAAGGGACATAGCCTGATAAAACTTCAAAGCAGTCGAAAAATCTTTCATTACCTTCATCACTGCTGTCATAGTCATCATTACCATCATCAATGTCATCTTCTTCATCATCATCTTCACTACTGCTGTCATCAGCCAAATCTTCATCATCATCATCATCATTACTGCTGCTATCATCAGCAAAATCTTTTAAAATGTCAACACTGTCCAGATCATCTTCGTTAATGTCAACATTGCTTTCATCATCATCAGTGTCATCTTGTGGAGGAGATGAGAAATGTTTGAATTTTGACATCTGTCCATGTTTATCCCCTGTGCCTGCTGTTGCTGGTTTCCTAGGGAAACTGTCATTCTTCTTTCTCTGTGTGAAAGAAAACACAATCAAAGCATTGTTACCAAATGTAAAATATTGCAATAACAGAACTCACTCACTCACTCACTCACTCACTCACTCATCAAATATATGTAGCTCACCTGGATTTTGAAAAAAAAGTCCCTGCCATTATTGGCAGTCGCAAGACATGATTACATACCACCATACATTTCCAGTGTCATACCTTTAACTTTGTTTTGGTGAATGCTTGCCTACTTCAACCCCACAATGAGGTCCCTATAGGCACTTCAAATTTAATGACATCACTTGTCAAATGCAGAACTTTATTATGAAAGTAATGTAACTGGTAGAATAATACAACTTCTGGTTTGTGGAAAATAAAAGCCATATGCAGTGTGACAGGAAGACACATGCCTCTGGAAGCTTGAATAAGAGGCTTCCAGTTTAAAGACATCACTTCCAGTTTGAAACACATATGCCCATTGCAGTATAACTTTGAAACAGAAAGTTATACTGCTTAGAGCTACCTTAACGAGTTAATGAGCACTTCTGGTTGAATGACATTTGGGAAAACCCATGTCCAATACAAGACAACTTGAAAACAGGAAGTCCCATCCCTCTAGCTACAACAATAATATATATAAAAATATAGCTGCAAAGCAGCAATGGCGGGCTCCAAGTTACACTGCACAAACGTCCATGTTCGAATCCTTAAAGGGTTTCCTTGTACCAAATCCGTCACATGTAGGCACAACTTGCAGGGTATTGCCGCTACGAAATTGGCGTGTGCTTAGTCTGTTCTAAACCCATTTCCAACATCAAACATGTTCGAATCCTCAAAGGGTTTGTTTGTACCAACTCTGTCAAAAGATAGTCAACGTTTGCAGGACATTGGCGTGTTCCAGGGGTTGAAAAAGGCCAATTCTAACTCTGGTCGTCAAGGGTAGTACACATAATATTGAACAAGACTGTGGAGAACGCTTGAGTATCTGCAAAGCCAGTGAATGGGGGTTTATAGTAGATTTATGAGGCGCTTCCTTCAGTATTTGTACTCAAGTCAATTTGTACTCAATATTTTTTACTAAAATCAAGTAATACCACCAAGCGGGGTTGCTTTCAGTATGCAACCCAGAAAAAATGAGGTACATTAAGTATCAAAACTTCATGCAAACTTTCAATAGTTTCTGTGGAGAACCTTACAAGATATGATCTTTAAAGTAAAATTTCGGTGAATTTTTTTTATCAAAATCAAAATCCAATATGGCCGCAACTAAAAAAGATACCGTATATCGCTGTGTATAAGGCGAGTTTTTCGTACCTAAAATGAGGGGGTTAAGAAGGGGGGTCGTCTTATACACGGAGTCGAAGATCTCACATTTTTTTTCCACTGGCGATGTCAACAGGCGTCCAATAGCCAGCCAAGCATTTGACAATAAAACTTCGCATTTCGTCCTAAATAACTGTTCCAATAACTATTTCCATACATAAACATGATTTGTATCTCTTTTCCTTGAATAAAGTTTAATAACTTCTGCAAATAAAGTTGAAATGACCCTCGCCTCGATGCAGATTGTCAAACCACCTGACACGGTAAAACAATCAACATCCGTGAGTAGAGAGCCGGAAGTACCGGTAAGCATTTGCATATTGCACATGTGACCTAACATGTGATAACCGGTGAAGCTGAAATCAATTCCCGCTGTTTTTACAGTTGTATTAACAACTGTTGGAGACAGTGTGAATAAGTGATTGTGGAATAAACACGCTGAATGTGAAGCAAACATAAGCCTAGTTAGTTACAACACAGTTAATTGGCGATTAAATTACTCACCATTGTCTCTTATATGTTATTACTTCATAAATGAATTTTATTTTACGGGCACCAATTTGGTGTCGTACCGTGTAAACACAAAATGGCGACGTGTGCTGGAGTTACACACGCGACCTATCATTGTAGAAAAACAAAACAACGCAAGATAAACATATTTGTATTGCATATATAAGGTTTGTGTGCGCACTTGTGATGTCCGTGTGCGAAATACGCTACAGTCGGAAAGCGCACGTTAAATCTTCTATATCAGTCAGACTTGTGATGTGTTTCAATCCAGGTCGCCTTATACACGGAGTATAGGATTTTGGGTTGATTTTTAAGGTGTGTACAGGGGGGTCGTCTTATACGTGGGGTCGCCTTATACACAGCGATATACGGTATCCAAAAACGGCTATGGCTATTTGTTGTGTTCTGTATGGAGACAATTCTCAGAAAGTTTGAAAGCATTTCATGCAGTGGATTCAGAGGAGATAGTATTTGAAGACAGGTACCCAAAAAAACCCGTGAAAACCTTAAATCCAATATGGCTGCCAAACCATGTGACCAATGACCAAAGTCAAAGAACAAACAATGTCAATGAACTGAAGCAGCAGATACATACAAGGTTTGAAAGTAAACGGACAAACGGTTGTGGAGCAGCAGGGCAAAATATATCGTCAAAAAATACTTGTTTTTCAGTTATCTGCCCTTGTCCTTTGGGCCTATGGCCTTGAGTTTTGGGGGGAATCTAGTACTCAAAGGTCTCCATACACACACAAAATTTGAACAAAATCGGGCCAGTGGTTATTTTGCTAGCGCTGGTACAAAAATCGGCGGAATAATAAATAATAATAATAATAATAATAAATATAGCTGCAAGCAGTGATGTCGGGCTCCCGCTGGTTAGAATTGTAGAAGCGGATCCTGTTCTATTCATAGAAGTACTTTTGCAAAATTGCACTTTGGTTATACAGAGTACTAAAAACCTTTGAATCTGAGTTCTTAATGACCCTAATCTATTACCATTAAGGCATTTTCTCCTGTTGTTATATAAGTGCATTCCGATATGAGGAAGGATATGTGCTATACTGTGTACGACTATAATATGATCTGGATTATCAATAGGATATTTCACCTGTCCTTTTGACCAAGAAAAAAATTCCCATTTTGGCCCTGTACCTGTTAAGTATGGAAGATACCAGCATGCAGAGGTGTTGGTGACTTGTTATTGTAATATGCAGGAAATGGATCTTGTAATTTGACCCGTGCTCAGGGATGAGATGGCTTAGACCATTATCTAACAGTAACAACACATGTCGGTCACCTCTTGTCATCTCCTTGTTGAAGCAATTCAACCAATCAGCTAAGAAAACCTCAAGTCTTCCAAGCGTTTGTGATCAAAGTTTAAAAGAAGATTAGCTGTAAACACAATGGAGATCAATGCACTTAAGTAGTTTGAGAAAGCGACTGGTTTCTAAACCATAATGATATGGGTAAATAATACTCCTTAAAGTTGGCATTATATCTGAGATCTTTCAGAAAAAAATGGAATTATCAAAAATGAACAGGTTCAGATCATAAAAGGGTAATTTGATAGTGCGAAAATCCGTTCCAAAGAAAATAAGGCATTTTATAAAAAGAAAACCAAACGTTGTACAAAGATCCTTTTAGACAGGGAGCAACTGAATGGATTTAGTGTACAAGTACGGGAAACTGTGCACTTTCCACTGGCAGAATGTATTACAAACAACGTGAAGAGAATCTATACAGAAACAGACTATAGAAGTCGCTACTATTGAAACGAAGTAAACATATAAATGGTCTGTTATTACTTGAAATTGTGGTAATACAATTAAGACAAGAACTAGTACATTAAACGGAGAGTTCAGCGATATTAAACTTTCAATCACAAACGTACAAAATGCGTGCTTTCTGCTGGCAGAGACTACTGAAAACAGCGTGAAGAAAATCCATAATGAAACAGAATATAGAAATCGCTGCTATCGAAACATGAAGTTAACATATAACCCGTCGGTTACTATACTTGGAAGTTGCGGTAATACATTAATGACAAGTACGAGTAAATTAATCGGAGGGTTCAGGAATATCAAACTTTCAATCACAAACCTACCGTATCCCACAGTTCGAAAAAGATTTAGGAAGGAGGTGATCTCGGGGGTGGGGAGGTAGGGTCCGTTTTGACTGGAGGAGCCAACACTTGGCTCTCGGATGACCCCGCTGCCAGAAGCTTATGTAATCCTATATAGCGCTACCACTGCCTTGCTCTCCATTGCCGTGCACGTGGATCACGTTCCAATATGCACCCGACCGACCGACCGACCGACCGACCGACCCAGCCGCATGGGACTGAGGTACGCTGACACGCTGTGAGGCCAATACACATGTATGCGCAGTTCTTTGCTTGACAATGTGTATTGTGAATTTGCGCCAATTTATGCAGATATGAGCTTTGACATAACAAAACATGCGATGTCGATATTTACACCAAGTTTCTATACAGAACCGTTGAACGTACGAGCGCAAACGTAAATGTATTTCTATAGTCCGTTTCTGCTTGCGTTGTCCATCAGCTGTTTTAACACTGTATCTCATTGACCCTGATAACTGATTTCTGTGGTCCATAGCCTAAAACTATACACAAAGCTCACGTACTTCAGACTGTAGTTTGTTATATAAATAAACCCATACCACTGGTCTATCGACAATAATGTAGCGTATAGCGCCAAGAGAACGGAATCATATGCACGAGTATTGCTGTCGATTGAAGTGCAGTGAACGGGACTTATTTGTCATTTTACGGCTGCTTCTTTCAGTTTCTTTTACTTTAAAAAATGTTTGAAGAGTTCGTAAAACACCTTTGTCACCCCCACTAAATGACATTTTCAAAACATGTGAAATAAGAGTTTGATGTATGTAGGATTTGTGATTTGTGACTGCATTTCAATATCGAATTGCACATGTAAATACTAAAGATTGCCTAGTCTGTCAGTTATAAAATGATCTGGTTAGGAGCAATATGTTTAAAAGATGTTGTTATACATAAAATATGCATCATTTCTCTCTCCGTAGTCTTATTTTCTATGTCGCTACACTTGGAAGTGGTAACAGACATCCCCATTCTACATACACACACGAAATTTGGCCGAAATCGGACTGGTAGTTTCGGAGTTAAAGGTGTTTAGAGTTTTGCTATTTG